TCAGCTGGCTCATCCAAAAACCATTTCCTGTCGGCAATCAATCAGTCGTAAATCTGCTCCCGCCAGATATGAATATATAACATGAAATATTGTTTGGGAAGTCAAAAGAGCTTAAATGTATATGCCTGACGGAAAAACTTATGAAGAGTTAAAAAACGGTCACGCACTGTAAAATGATTAAAAAAAAAGGAATCATATTTGTCGGCAAACTGATCATGATTTATATCATTTGCATGGCACAACATGACATAAATATATTTTAATCGCATCGAGGATCATCACGGATCGATTGATAAGTAGGGCAAATAGGTCACTTGGTCAACCAAACCGTATGTACAATAATGTAAGGAAATAGGTTAAAAAAACCGATATTTACAAGAAGTTTGCATTTTACAGGAGATAAAACCCGTGAAAATAATTTAAAGTGTAAAAAAGAAACTCGGCAGTCAAAAAATAATATATACCAAAAATAAAACCCAGATTGATGGCATCAATATTTCTGTGATTCCTGATTTAATGCAAATCAAACGTCCCTGTTTTAAATTTTTGCGCCTCGAGAACAATTCTCAGTTAAAAAGATGCCTTATTTCCTGAGTTCATCAGTTGCGTCTGTAGCGTGTACCTACCTGACGCAAAAGGTTTGTTTTAAAGTAGCGGTAGATGGCGAACTAATTAGGAAAGTTTCTCCCTCGGAAATATTGCACTGTTTCACTTTTGCGGGACAGCAAAGGTTTGATGAAAAAAGTTGCTACACGATTATTAATTCCCTTGAGCTGGAATGATTCAAACTGTACTGTGATGAGAAAAGAAGTTTATTTGAGATGAAATTGAAACAAAAAAGCTCTACTTTTGAGAGCTGTATGAATTCAAAAGTCTTCCTTCATTCCTCAGGCCTTCTCATATTCTGATCAACCAAATTTTTCTCAAAACAAGCGCGGCCTGAAAATAGACACCATTCATACAGTGAAAGATTTTAAGAATTATATTTTTACACATGTATTGGAGGATCAGATGGAAATTATATAAAAAATGCACCTCCAGTCGTAGATTTGGAATGGTAACTTCATAGGCCTTTAGAGCTAATATTATTTCCTCTTTCTTCCAAAGATAGTACCAGATCTACGCGCCATAACGATGCCTCTCATATCGATTGAGGTTTATCATGGCGGATTTTGACGTGTCGTGTCGTAATTTAGAACCTATCTGTAACTGCTGACCCAAAAGAATAGATGTCTTATAACACAAAATGTTCTCATACTGATGCAACATGTAGTTATTGTGAGCTGCTATGTCTGTACAAATGCTTTATGCTGCTGGCACAATATGTTTAAAGAAATTATTCATGAAAAAGTCCTTCAAAAATTGCAAGACCAATACAATAATAAAAGAAAAATAAAAAAATGTGTATTTCTCTGTTCACTCAATCCAAAATGAAATGAAACACAAGATATGGAAAGAATTTGGCACAAATCGGACGTTTTTTGTAATCTTTGATCAACCCATTCTAGAATTACTGTCTCAGTTCCCTCTCTAATTCCATTTTTTCTTTGCCGTACCCCCGATGCCCCGGTCCATTCCAGTCTATAATCTTTTCAATTCGTGAAAATGTAATCTTTATTCCCGTTTGGGACACTGTGAAGGCCTAAAATACAGGAACCAATCAGAAATTGATTCGCATTGTCTTTACTCTCATAGTATAAGGAGGCACCTAAATTGGGGAGGATTTCAATTTTGTTTCCGTAGTCTTCCGCAAAGTATAAATGGCAACGCCGCCAGCTCCCAGTTTAAAGCGTGTTTGGCGGCAAATTTCCCCGAACATGAAATATGTATTAAAATTAGCTGACAGAATTAATCTAGTGGTGGGGCGGTCACGGAAAGGCGCGGAGGAGGGGGCTTGGAAGGTAGTCTGAAAGCAGAAACAAGTAGAGAGACTCGAGTTTAGTTTGTTTCTCGGGTAAAGAGGTGAACGGTGTGGGCGCGGTTGCAATGTCAGGGATGAAATCATTTTTGTCGAGTTGAGATACTCAAACCTTTGTAAAAAAAAGTCTAAATTTGCTATGAGCAATAAGTAAGTGAGAGATTAGGGTGATTTACAAAGAACGACGAAAAACTAAGCTCAAATTTCGAGGAATAAAACCGAGATGACTTGGCTGATCAACCGGCCATTATTAATAAGCGAGGTTAATATAAAATATAAAAATTAAAAATTAAAAACCTAAAGATTACAATTTCTATTTGACGCTTAATTGGAGGGAAAAGATGTCTCTTCCTCCAGTCAGAATCGGAAATGTAGTTTTCAGGTTTCTACTTTTTAATTATGCTTGTCTTATTATTATTTCACCGATTGATAATAACTGGGTACAAATTTTACAAGCCAATTTTTTCTTCTTTTTTTTCTAATTTTATTTTGGTTCCCCATTATTTTTTTGATATCGCAAGCTGCTGATTTGTAATGAAACAGGAAAAAGGAAAAGGATATACAGAGAGGCTCTCATCATTTGAGGTGTATCGTCTCAGATCCTTGTAATTGAACGACATAAAACGTAAAAACGAAAAGTTATAAAAAACACACTCATTCACACTCAAAATTTTATCAGCACTTTTTAAAGTGTCAAACAATGCATCAAATCAATTCATTTTGATTTGCCAGAAGTATTTTCTCCTTCCTCTGCAATTTCTAACCATTAAGCTCTTAGTTCTTGCACGAAGAGCTATTAATTTGTTGCTCGTGAGCCTCATAATCTTAAGTAACTGTTTTAGCAACATGATAGAACAAAAAATTCAGTCACGGGTACAATAATATGTACTCTACTTATACGAGAGATTTCGTTATCATTGCAATGATGCTTCTATTTGAAATTGATTTTATAAATCAGGACTGGCGAGGCTTTATTAACATGGATTTTGTGAAAATATGGTTCCATCGCCTTGGATTCCCGCGCTCTTCATATCCCCCATCGAGTAATTGGGCATATTCGGCAACGCGCATCCCTTGCGAAGTTGAAAGTTAAGTTGAAAACCCTCTCCTGCCCCTCCCACCGCACAACTTTTGTTCTCTTGTTGTGTATTAAACTTTCATAATGGCTGACAACCACCCTGCCCCTCCCCTTACTTTTCCGGTCCCTCCCCCGTTCCCCTGCAACGCTCCCTTTTAATCCTCCCTTCCCCTTTCTCCGTATGCACGTGTGTTTTCACCCCACACGTTACCCCCTCACGAGTTACTCTTTGTTCCCGCATTCTTTCATTTCCTCTCCGTTCTTTTTAATTCCGGGGCCGTCTTGAGGCTGAGCCTCGAACATGGCTGAACATTTCAATCCGCTCCTTTCATGTCTCTCTTCGTCATTTTGAGCGCGTTCCTCGAGCCGCCGTGCTCGTAAATGAAAATGGCGCCTTGCCGGGAATTTTTGGAAATTATCCCTCACGGTGGAAGTGCACGACGCGTAGTCTTATGCTTGTCGCGTGCCTCGTGCCACACACAGAGACGAAATAGCCCTCGAGCTTAGCGTCGCACAGTGGATCGAGTCAATAGTGGAACAAAATTTGAAAACTTTAAACGCTTATAACTCCGTTTATACAAACCTTTGAGGCTCTAAAAGAGTGCATGAAAAATCGAAGCGCCTTCATTATTTTTACATGCAACCAGGACAACAGCAGATCTCGAATAGTTGCATCAAGGGGTTAAAACCAACGCCGCGTCACTTGCGCACGACACTTGGCCGCGCCGCACAGTGAATCGAGTCAATAGGAGAGGTCGGACAAAATTTGAAAACATTAAACGCTTATAAATCTGTTTATACAAACCTTTGAGGCTCTAGAAGTGGTTCTATTCGTTTCCTTTTGAAATTGCCTACTATAAGCACCCCTTGTCATGTAAAATGTGACGAAATAAACACCAATATCTTCAGTTTTCGTCAAAAATTTGATGTCCGACCTCTCTGATTGACTCGATCCACTGTGCGTCGGCTCCATATCAATAGCAAAAAGGTCGTTGCCGTATTACATTTTGGCAAGGAAAAATATATTGTACCGCTGAAACATTAACAAGTCAGTTGCACAGGTCTCTTCGGTCTCAGAGTCGTATTGTGATGGTGGCAACTTATCGATCAGAGAAATATATCAAGATCGGTTCAAGAACGCCACGTTTAGTGTTCAACATGAAACGTTGGTACTGCCGTGTGAATAACATATCGACGGTGAAACTACCAAACCACGTATCTCGTTTGCGGTGTTTAAAAATCTACGCTCACATTTTATTTTTTTGAAGTAGACCAAATCAATATCATTCCTTGAAATTTTCACGGAATTTTCTCCGCACAAAGAGGAAATATCACAGAAATTTTCAAGACTGGATGTTGAGTAGTTTTTCATTTAAAAAATAAAGTATGACAGGAAGTCTGCGACGTCGCAAACCGAGATACGTGGTTTGGTAGTTTCACCGTCGATATATGTGCAGAACATGTAATCATATCAACCCCGGTGGATATTTATACATATGATGCATCTCTTTCATCTTTGTCTCGTTCAAAATAAATACTTACGTTCACTACTCGATCGGTCTATAGAAATCGCTATTCAAGTCTACTTGAGAAACCCGTGATGTGCACTATAGCGACATGGATAACAATATTCATCTTGATGATGATGTTTAACTGTGTTATGTGCCTGATGATGAATTTTTGTATTCGAAAGGTCCTCGCACCATAAACTAAAAGGATGTATAACAAGGTATCAAGGCTACTAATTATTCTTCTTATTACTTGTAAATGATACCAATATGAAACTGTCCTAATATTCATTTTGTTTCCCAAAATGCGGAATCACCGGTGATCTTGTACTACTCAATAAGGTTATAGCGTTATTGGTTTTATACGCTTAAAGATTTGTCACCAAGTTTTTAGCAGATTGTTAAAATAATTTGTATTCGTCGTTGTTTAAAAAGTCTGAGAAGAATTTCTGCATTGAGGTAAATCGTAACTCATGTGTTTTGTATGTGTTCTCAGGTATGGTTTCAAAATCGACGGGCAAAATATCGGAAGCAAGAGAAGCAGCTACAAAAGGCCCTGGCTCCCCCCGTTTTACCGAGCTGTAACGGAGCCATGATGCGCAATATTTACCCGACTGCCAGTAGAGGTTACCAACCGTACCCCCACCCTAACACAATCAATAGGTATCCACAGGTAAATATCGACCAGCTGATGATTTTTTTAAACAATATTTTAAGCTGACTATCAAATCAACACTGTGCGGCTTAAAAAACATTCTCGTCAAAACATGGCGTCCTTGAGAGAACAAAACATGTCATCATTATATTGGTGAAAATCTAAGGCAAACAGATACATTCGATAATCTGTTAATTGTACTTATTCAGAGCCTTGATTAATTTTACCTTCATATTATTAGGGAAAAAGAATCATGAGTATGTTGGTTCTTTCGTGTCATATATTCCCACTCCATAAATGAATCCTTCATATTTCGAAACATTTTCAATGCGATCTAGTTAACTAATGAACACTGTAAGAAAGTAACCACCCTTTTAGAGGACACAATTTTATCAGTTTTTTCTTAATTGATTTTCGATGTAAACATGTTTTAACGTGGATCATTCATTCAAGATGCCGCTTGTATAACTGATGCAAATTTTAAGATTATTCTTAATGTTGCAGATGAGTTCAAGCTCCTACGCAAGTATGAGTCAGCCTTTTTCTATGACCCATGGGGCAGCAAATATGAGTGCAGCAGTATCCGGTATCCGGCAAGATGCAATGGGTGAGTTGTACTTAAAATAATGATAAATAAATGTGGAGTCAGAGAGCTCATACATAATGACGACATCTTGATTGAACATGATAGGAGTGATTGGTGGGCGTGAGTTACATACCCTCAAACATCCGGCTAACTCGGTCATTTTTTTTTTCAAATTTTTTTTGACCTAATCAATTCAGAAGGAAAAGTTAAACCAAGAGATACATTATGAGTTTTGCTTCTGTGACTCCATAAAACAACTAGTCTACATTATTGAAAAAAGGTAGTTTGGACTTTGACAGAATTTAAAAGTCTATCAAATTTTTGGGGGAAACATCCCATTTGTGCAGCATGGAATCTAACTGATTAATTGAATCCGAAAGAGTCGATGAAAAATGACCGTGAACTGCCATTACTGAGCTTTAAATTAACCTCAGTGTAATTTAGAGAATCGTATATATGCTCATATGGTGGCGGCCGTAAAAAGAATGAATCTCGTAAACTATCTTGAATCTCGAGGGCTGCGTGGCTCAGAGTAATGAAAATCTGGAAATTATGCCTTCAAAAAATTTCACAGCAACTCGCTTGGCACGACAAGACGACAAGATGTCTTGGCATTCTCCTCGGCTTATTTCCGGTGCCTGATTGCGCGGCGTCTTAGCGACGAACGCTTGCTACGCTGCGCCGCATCGTGTCGAGCACGCAACCATCTAGACATCTTAGATCCGCAACTTACTCCTCTTTCCCCGCTGTCGTCTCTGTTTTCCATTTCCTTCCTCATCAAAGCCTTCCGTTCTTACGGCCAACCTCCTTCCCGCGCTTTTTGCCAAGTTTTAGAGGGCTAAATTTGCCGTCGCAAAAACAGTAGAACTCTGCCGATCTTGCAAAGGTACGAACTTCCTGTCTCTGTTTTCATGCCTCATTTTCTTAAGAGAAATTAGCTATATTAAATTTAAAAATCTCATATGGTTTTTCTTTGACCATCTTAAAACACTATCATGCTATCGTTTGAAAGAACTTGTTTTCATGTAAAAATAAAGTAATAGCAGAAATTCTTTAAACGTCACGAGGGAAAGGGCAAATTAAAAAAATCGAGAAAACACATGATTATTTTAAAGTTGCATTGAATTGAATATCTACAAAATTAAACATTAAATAAATTAAAAGTACTATAAAAATTATTTAGAAGTAAATAAGAATATAATTATTCAATTAACTGTGAAATAAACTATGTAAAAATCGGCCGTCATTCTTAAATGATTGAATATAATCTATGGTCGTTTATGAATAAGGCCTCTGGGAAATAGCGGGGTTTGTGTAGTTCTAATTCAATTTTATTAGGGTTGTTTGTTTTTGAATTTTTCGTCTGTTTCATTTAAGCTTTTGTTTCCCCTGCTTTGTTACCTCTTTATTTGGAGGTCTTTAATTTCACCTGGGTCTACAAATTAGAATGATTAGGTCCCTATACGGCAAGTAAACAAAGGCTGAGAAAACTAAAGAAGAACTGGATGAATTAATTCTAAAAAGAACTGCGCACGGTATATATTAAATCATATTAAATACATTAATCTTATTATAGTTCCATCTATTTTCATTCATTTGCGCCTAGTTCTTATTTAGCATAAATACGTTCAATTCGCTCATATATGTTTTGCTTACCTTTCGTGAGCTGTGAAAATTTGGTCGGATCGATCTAACATGTTAACAGCGTGTCAAGCAATCAGTCATTTCACTACTTTTTAAGATGTATAACAGATCTCGAAGGGTGTAATGTGTGGAGCGAGATTTTCTAAACGATTTAATTTTGATCAAAATGTCAAAGCTACAACACGAAATACCTGCAGCTGCAGCCGGCTTCGATATTAGATTTTAACATTTGATTGATAACATTTTGATTATAGTAATTCTCGAAGAAAATCAAACATAATCGAAGGTTCTTAAACGTTACAATTGAGATTTGCACTTTTCCGGCCTTAGCCATCGATAAACTACAGGCCACTTTATCAAAACTTACCACGCAGAAAACCTCAATCGCAGTGGAAAGTTGAATTTCAAGCCCGAGTCTTATCAAACCTGGCGTTATTTTACATATCCCATTCGTGTAATTATTGAGATTCAACTGTTGCAGCCTTACTTGGTTTTCAGACACAGTGTGGCCGACGCGGAACGCATATTTGCGCCTAACCTAAGGAATACTTCAAGCATTGCGCGTTAGGTGCAATGCTTGTAGTATTTCGTTAGGTTTGTAGGCGCTAAACTGTTTTTGCACAGGCCGCACAATGATCGGCGCGATTATTCAAACTCTCGGAGTCAGCGTTTTTCAACTTGTTATTACGAAGTTTGTGTACACTTTATATGGATTATTGTCATTTAGAACGCTAAAGAAATACAAAATCACCTTGCCGCTATCTACTGTTTGAGAGGAGCTTCAATTTCAACGTGCAAAGTCAAATGAGCCCATTTGAGGGGCTTGGAGGACAAGGCGCATAAATGCAGTTTATGAAAAAATTGAGATATCAATGATTTCAAGTAACTCTAGTCTTAATGCATATTCTGTGAAAAATTCGCTCCTAAATTCCTATTTTCAACCATCAAAAAGTCAGTTTGAACAATCTTTCTGTCACAAGGATCCGTGTAGCTTCGAAACTGCGAACACGTATTTCTCGAAATAGTAAAAACTGCACTTGTGCGCCTAGTCCTCCAAGCCCCTCATGTGATGACTCTTCCATTTGATGAATCTATTTTTTATACTAGATGATAAATCTTCGATCTAATAAATCTAATAAAATCTCTAATAGATATTAATTTATAGCCAGTTTTATTATTTAAAAATATATACTTATTTTTATGGTTTCTGTGTTAATATTACTTTTAATATCGAGAATAGTGTCTTTGATGATAGGGTGAGAGGAAATAGGGATAACTTATTTTGGTCTTATTATGAACTAAGTGGTCTTATTAATGAGCTTTAGCTCAAATGAAGTTTCCGTAAAAGTCTCTTGCTGCTTTTATCCATCTATTTTATTGACGCTTTTCAATGGAAGGTTTTCGCGAGAAACCTGACAGCATGTTGGAAGCTGAGGGCGAAGCTATATTGGCGTTCTAGCTCTTATTTTCTGCTCCGCCACGCACACAATTATTTCCATCCCGCGTTTTCCCGTTTCCCGGGTCCTCGACCGAGTTTCCTGCGGCCGCCGCGAAATCGAAAAACGACTCACCTGCCGCCAGAGCGCAGCACTGTACTGATATTGATGAAAAGGTTCATGATGTGAGATCTCAACTCATGGACATTTTATCGTTGTGTCACGATAAATATTGTTTCAAAGTACGAACATCGACAACTTTTTGTACAACTAGTCTTAATTACTAATTTTTTGGCAAAAGCAAATAGTAAAGAGATGAAAAGTATCCTTCAGCGATAATAAAGAAATACTCCTTGTAATGAGCCAGGTATAGAGCCAAAAATCTTGAATTAAAGTAGGTAGTGAGCGGAAAGAAGGCTTCCTTGCATTTTGCAATTTTGAACAATAGATTCTGGGTCATCTGGAAAAGACACTTAAATGTGCATAGGGAAACTAACGGTACATACGTTGTTTTTAAAACTGGCTAGAATTTATGGTTCCAAATTGCAAAATGCAGTCCGTTATTAGATCAAACGGACTGCGATACGTTTTTTGGTGGTTGGAAAGGTGTTCTTACTGTGCTGAAATTTTTAAAACTTTGTAATCCCGCTGGTTCCTTTTTGCTATGTGCGATCCATTTTATTGAAACTGCATCATTTTAACGATTTTCTCCGGGAGGTTATTTTTCTCTCCCTCGCTGAATGGCGTGGCTTAGTATTCTAATTATTTGCAGTGGTAGAGTAAAGTATGGTTGGAAAAGTCACTGGAAGACGGAACCGGTGACTTGAAACCGCGCGCCTGGCATCACATCTCGACGGAGACCTTTTTTTCTGGAGCGAAAGCGCTTCGCCCTTTCAGAAACGAGCGAGGGCGGAGGGCTAGGAAGGAGATGAGCAGGGACGCGGACGTAGCGACACCCCTCGGGCTTCGCTTTTCGTCTTCCCCCCTTCCGTTTTCCCTCCACGCCCGGCCGCCATTTTCCTCCACCCCCGCTCGACGCCGAAATCCGCTTTCCTCGCGCGTTTTTCCCGGCAGCGCAGGGAAGCCCGCCCGATCTTATTCCGCCCGAAATAAAATGGAGGATCGCGTCAGCTCCGTTGCCTAACTTGCTTTTTTTGTTGGTTTTTTACTATAGTGAGATCCAGGGTCACAAATAATTTAAGAAAATGAATTATGAGTGATTTTAAACTCGCAGAATACACTATATATACGAATATTCTCCTGCCAAAATATTGAAGTCGATAAATAGTTTTCGCTAACATTCACTGGAAAACAAACACATTGGATCTAGAGTCCAGACTCTTAAAAACATCGACAAGAAAAAATACTCTTGATTCAATCGGATTTTTGCTTAAATTAAGAACCAAGCCTCTTAATTTGAGCGGATTTCCTTTTGATTTAAGCTTAAATCTGATTGAATCAAAAGTATTTTTTTCTTGTCGATGTTTTCAAGAGTCTGGGACTCAAGATCCAATGTGTTTTTTTTTTTCCAGTGTTCCCAATATGAGCTCCAAGTCCATTACTTGGACTGAGTGGTTTGAAAAGAGGAAACCAAATCTCCGTTTCTTAGTTATGATTTGTTGTGTCTTGGCTATGCTTCATCCTATTAAATTCAGTCCAATGCAAGTACGCCTTTAAATTAATCGCCATGTCATTTTCGTTCGAGTCTTTTAATATAAAATTTTCATCAGAATAAGAAACAGTTTTTCACCTTTTTCTTCCTAAATATCGATGGCTGAAGTGGAGGTATTTATGCTAAAAGGAACGATGTGCAAGTGGAAATATGTGGTGTGGTCGTGGTGAGCTGGATAAAAAACAGTGTAAAAGTGGATATAGTTCCTTTTGAGAACATGGAAAAGCGGGATTTGACATTAAATCAAAAGGAACTGAGCGCCAAAATATGCTAACTCATGAGCCGTGGGCATGTGAAAAAAGCGTTGTGGACAAGGCTCATGAGTTGAAGCACACAAAGCGGCGAGCTTCTCGTCGACGTCGCATCAAGCCCGTTAATCACCGCTGACCTAAGGAATACCTCAAGCATTGCGCGTTAGGTGCAATGCGTGTAGTATTTCTTTACATTTGTAGGCGCTAAAATGCGTTTTGCGCAGGCTGCACAATGATTGGCGCGATTATTCAAACTCTCGGAGTCAGCGTTTTTCAACTCGTTGTTACGAAGTTTGTGTACACTCCATATGGATTATTGTCATTTAGAACGGTAAAGAAATACAAAATCACCTTGTCGCTATCTACTTTTTCGAGAGGAGTTTCGATTTTAACTTGAAAAGTCCAATGAGCCCATTTGAGGGGCTTGGAGGACAAGGCGCACATAAGTGCAGTTTATGAAAAAAAATTGAGATATCAATGATTTCAAGTAACTCTAGTCTTAATGCATATTCTATGAAAAATTCGCTCCTAAATTCCTATTTTCAAGCATCAAAAAGTCAGTTTCAACAATCTTTCCGCCATAAGGATCCGTGTAGCTTCGAAACTTCAAACACGTATTTCTCAAAATAGCAAAAACTGTACTTGTGCGCCTCGTCCTCCAAGCCCCTCATTTGGACGTATTCATGCTAAGAGGAACTATGTGCAAGTGGAAAGATGTGGTGTGCTCGTGGTGAGCTGGATAAGAAGCAATGTAAAAGTGGATATATATATATATAGTTCCTTTTGAGAACATGGAAAAGCGGGATTTGACAATAAATCAAAGGGAACTGATCGCCAAAATATGATAACTCATGAGCCGTGGGCATGTGAAAAAAAGCGTTGTGGACAAGGCTCATGACTTGAAGCACACAAATCGGCGAGCTTCTCGTCGACGTCGAGCCCGTTAGTCACCGCTGACGTCATTGGCGCTTTAAAATCCCCATTCATTCTTATAGCCCTCAACTAACGAGCACACCCCACCTCTCCACTTGCACTTAGTTCCATTTAGCAGAAACTTCTTTGACATGGGATATCCTTTAAATTGCCACGAGTACAGAAATGTTAGTGCCATATGGAACTCTCAATCCTAGGTTGTAAGGAGCGTCTTGAAAACCATTCGTAACAAAATATCTCGGACTGACAATTGAACTGCGTTAAGTAGAAAGGAACCAAGCCACAACAGTTATTGATAAATTTAATTGGGCAAATTAAATTTTTCGATGGAAGCGGTTGTGCGGATTTTTGTGCAAATTTCACTGAAATTTTTGCACAGTATAAAGCAATTTCCGTAAAATTTTCAAAGGGATCCGCACAAACGTTCTCTTGTAAAAAATTAAATTACCGAGTTAAATTTGGCAATGGCTGATGTGACTTGGTTCCTCTCTGCTATAAACGCGGTCCAATGGAGATGGTGCATATATGAGGAATTTGCGATTTGACTATTGATTCTTACGTAAAAGTTCGCGAAAAGCACGATGGTGCCACTGGTTTTCTCTGAAATCAACTCCCAAGCTCAAAAAAGCTCTCAAGTTGAGGCCAAAATGGAGGGGATATCCCACGCTACCCTGAGAGTCCACCTCTACATCAAGACAAACTCTCCATGCAAAGATAGGGAGCAAATACATTGACAGGGCTGTCACTTTATTTGGGGACTCTAAAACTGAAAACACGGCAACCTTGCTAATGTATTTGCTCCCTATCTTTGCATGGAGAGTTTGTCTTGATGTAGGTAGAAGTGGACTCTCAGGGTAGCGTGGGATATTCCCTCCATTTTGGCCTCAACTTGAGAACTTTTTTTGAGCTTAGGGGTTGATTTCAGAGAAAACCAGTGGCATCATCGTGTTTCTCGCGAACTTTTACATAATTATCAATAGTCAAATCGCAAATTCCTCACACATGCAACGTCTCCATTCAACCTCGGTCGATTATGATAAGCATTGAATCCGAGGATTCAACTCGAAGGATAACGACTTGCTTTGTTTTTCAGGTATCACGACGGAGGACGAGTGGTACAACAAAAGTCTATCGGCCCTTAGGATGAACTCGAGTCATCACCCGAACCTGGCCGCCCCGATGCTCCAGTACCAGACATAATACTAATTCAATTGACCGCTCTTCGCAGTTCTATTCGCACTCACTTCTCGACAGTGGCGAGGCGTGAATGATCGATTATCGATATTTCTCCATATGAGCTGTGGTAAAGAATCGATTATTAAGGTGTTTGCTGCGAACGCCCTGATAACCGATCATTTTCCGTACGTTTAAATGGTAGATCAATCGATATATCGCAAAGCACGCCACGCAACTACTTCTCGACGAGTCCTTGCCGCTCCTTCAACGCTGCCCGCGCATCCCGCACAACACTCCCGACTCCCTCGCACAACTGCGTGTCGGGTCCTCAAACGCGAATCGCGTGGAATTTTTCGTGTAATTCTAGTCAGCATCAAAATTAACGCTCTAGTCAAAATATTTTCCAGGCTGAAACCTGATTCTTATTCTAGTCAAAATTGAAATCCCCTAATTTTTTATTTTCATAATTCTCAGAACAAATTAGAATTGCGAGCAATTCAGTTCCTTCACATTTAAAATCATGTTTCATTTGAGTTATATTTTTAGTAAAAAGACGAAGCCGAAAGAGTAAGCTTGTTTGAGAGGTCCAAAAGAGTTTGGTCAAACATTAGTTGGGACAATTTTTCAATCGCACCATTCATATTAACAAGTAAAGCAGATCATTAGTTGAGGGTTCTTATATTTATTAGCCTAATGCCTGTATTCTGCACAATTAGTGCTACACAAATATTTAGTTGGTCCAACAAAACAGTGGAGAATCTTTAAGTTCAGTGCCATGGAGAAATTTTACACCAATTTTTCCCTTTCTTCTTTTCAAAGCCTCATAATGCCCGTTATTCTTTGTGATGCTTAATTGTTTCATTGCCTACACCAAGAGTAACTTTTCTAGTCAATTTGTGAGGTATTCGTATTTGTTTACGAGAACGGTTGTTTTTTAGTTCAATTTCTTTCTCATGTTTGAATATTTCTTGTGCATTCTTTTACGGGAGGAGGGGTAAATTCCTTTTATTTTACTTTTTATCCTTGTTGGTTTTATTTATTTTTATCTCATGATAATTATGATTCCTAATGTTTTTGTTTTCTTTTTTGTTTCTCTTCTGCATGTCATTATCATCATTTATGAGTTAGCTAGTCACTCTATGTGTAAGAAAAAACTTAGCTCTCTACCTATACGACATTGAAATGTGCAATCAAAACGAGTTTATATCTTGCTTACACAGTGAAAAAAAAGGAACCGACATTTTGTGTTAATATGAGAAGTCGAACACAAAGTAATCTAAACTCGCAGTCAATATTTTTGGTTGGTTTTTCTTTGAGTTCCATTGAACAAAACTTTGGGTTACATTGGCCAAATTTTTGGATTTGACATCTGCAACCTTGTCAGAAAGTAGACGCAAATTGGCAGGGTCGTAACTATATTCCATCGATGCCAGTCGAATACACTATTTACGAATATTCACCTTTTTCTTTTTCTACACCTAATTATTTTAATCAAAAATTATCAAAGGCAGTTGAATCATCAATTCATCATAAATTAAAATAGAACTCAAAATTAATTACGTAAATGATTATGCTTTCTGTTGCGGCGGCAAATCTCAAATCCTACCATCATCAGATCCTGAGAGTCCGGTCATAGTTGTAAAAATTAGGAGACAGTTGTAAATAGTTATAACCACATTTGGAGGAGGCGTGATGCATCACATCGGTGGAAAATATTTTAATACTTTTGCGAAGAGGATATGGTTCCTACCACCGGATGATTCTAAGCAAATATAATATGAATTTTGGGACGATCCGATCATATGCAACATACAAAACAAAGAGGTACATATATAATTCGGTATCGCGACGATAATTGCACTTAATTTACGATTTTAAGTGTTAACGATTTGGAATAAATAATAAAAAAATGTAAATCCTTCAAGGTTTCGATCAAAACTTTACCCACTGATGCAAAAAGTAGTCATTTATGTGTGAGAGGGGTCATAGTTTTAAAGGGTTAGTAATATTTTAGTACTTAATGGAAATTCCTCTGTTTTTGAAAATAATCTTACCTACTTGTTAAGACTGGGATATTACATATCCTTCTGTGTAATTGGAACCCTCAGTCCATCAAACTTTAAGGTTCCTTGCTCAGCCCATTGCCAAATTACGTAACTTAAAATGTTTCAACGTCTCTAGCATCATAAATCGCATATGACGCTATTTTTTCACACGAAAAAATTGTATTTAACTGTTATTAATGAGTAAACTGATTAAAAAAATGTCACCCTCCTCTATTTTCATGTTTCAATTTTTCCTAGCATCGCATTATTGTTTTCTCCATAGCTCGTATGCATCGTCTGACAAAGAATCATGTACTGTGAAATAATAATCAGGAATGTATTTTTCTCTGATAAAATCTGATGTAAACTTTCCCTTCCGACTCATCCGAAAATCAATCAACTTTTAGGATATTTTCCTTGTTTTGACCTGTAGTTTAGCAGTGATGGCAGATGATGCAAGAAAAGCACTCAGGGTGTCTTGCCTCGTGTCGTAGACAAGACAGCGATTTAGTGCTGACTAGGATTTTGCGGGATACGTACTGAAAAGAAGTAGGGTACACTATGAGTGTGGTCTGCTGACCAGCTCAAAAAAGATCTAAACAGAAGCGGATCCACCAATTTGGCAACACCGGATTGCCTCCATCTAAATCTATGCTAAATAATCGATTCTTGTCAAAGCACCCGGCCCCTCCGAGAATCGATACCTTTCCATAGGTTTTAATGGAAGAAATACAATGTTGCCACTCTGCTCAATCCGCCTATGGATCTAAACCTGTACAGATCGCTGAACAGGACTTTAAATTAGGTATATTATAATGAATCTGCCTGAGCTGAATATCCCCCCCCCCCCAGACATGAATTTTAGAATTCTAATTATGACGTTTTATTTTTTCTGACATTGGTCTCTCTGCAGGATGGTGTAGAATGGAAACTATTCTACCATCCTGTTACTAGTCTAAAACTGCATGCGTAACCGGTACGTACCGTACCATCAGCTCGTATAAGTTTTGAAGGTAACTCTCTTAGTGTCATGCAGTGCGATTCTGAAGTTGAACTTCCCGTAAAATCCGAGAAATAGGGTGTCTCTAATTATCATGAAGACACTTTTGTGTAAATTTAATCAAGTTGTTTGAATCTTTCAATCGAGTTCATCAACTTTTTTGTAAATATTTTTATTAGAGTGATATTTTATCGAAGCAAGTACAATGTACGGGCTACGTGCTCGACCCTATCTGATTGTAAATTTGGCCTCTTATATTTCCATGTTTTTGTGATTTTATTATGTATCATGTAATTAATTTATATCAATTTGCAGCCCAAGAGTTATTAAAAAAACCCATACTGTATGATCTGTAAATATACAATTTAATATTAAATTATACGTGTTTGTTTTGTAAATTTGAGCTACAGATTTTTTTCTGCATTCATTATTTCTAATTGTATTTTCCGAGTACGCCTCCAACCTTCCAGAATACAAACTAAGCGTTATCTACTTAAATAAATACTTACTTACGGTTTTTTTTTTTTTTTTTTTTTTTTTTTTTTTTTTTTTTGAGAATTCGGATACTTTGGGGTCGATTTCCTATTCAGCTCCGCAGATTGTGTCCTCGTGCGATCTAATGCAAACGGGGGACGTGCTGCAAGCGCAAAACGCGCACTGACGCCTGCAAACCTAAAGGGATACTTCACGCATTGCGCAATGCTTGACGTATCCCTTTAGGTTTGTAGGCGTTTCAAGCTGGCAGCACGCCGCGCCGCACGGTGAATCGAGTCAATGGGAGGGGTCGGTCATCGCGCATCATGTGTCTTGTTTTCTCTGATTACAGAGATTTCCCGCCCTTAGAATAGAGCAAATTATCCATGTCTGATGTATTTATCGTTGTAGATTCCATTTTTTATCATATTTCAGCCGAATAACGAGTTTTAATACGATTTTAACACACTTTTTCATGACTATTGAAAATGGGATCCTTGATAGTTTATTTTTCACGTTACTTTCGGCGAATGGGACCGTAAGCATCTTACATAAAGAAGAATTTTGCAGAACTTGACTCAAAGACATTACTTGAGGAGTGAGGGAGGGCGGCTTCACCACGAAGGTTGCCATATTTCTTTCAATTTCTGCTAACATCGTTTTTTGTTCATGTTAATTGGTTTCTCGCAATTGCATACTGACACATATACGGAACGTTTATAATGTTCAGCGGCAGCACGCTGCGTGCCATAAACTTGCCCACAATTTGTATAGGTCAGGGTGTTAAGGTGTAGGCAATTTGACATCAAATTCGAAATTAGCAACTCAAAAAAACATCGGTTTAGAAACTTTCGTGATCTTTCAGTCATTAACCGACTTTTTTCTTCCTATGCTTGAGTTTTGGACCATAGTGCGCCGCGGGCGGCGGCGCTCATGAAATTCTCCCCTGTGCTCAACCGTGCCTCACCCAGCGCACCGCAGAATTCGAATTTTCCCGCGGATCGGAGGACCCGCCTTGTATCCCACCCGATTGGCCGGCAGTGGCGTCATCGGATGAAGATGATTACTCCCATGACCGCCAGAGTGCAGCGAGAACGGCGCGTTGCCAAGCTTCACCGCGGTATTAATGTTGGAGCCAGTCGCAATTTATTTTGAAGGCCACCGCTCCCACCGCACATTGGTTCNTTCAAGCACAGAGCCACGTTGTCAAATTATTAATCCCGTGTTGAGTGCGAATTTGCTATTTTACGCACATTTACCATATTATGGTTAACGATAGGGTCAAATCGACTTTAAATTCGTGATCAGCGACCCAAAAAACTCATAGAAGCGTATGTTGCACGCTGGTAAGGGTGATATTCTAATTAATGCCGCCTAGATCGGGCTCTGGAACCAATGTGCACCGTGGCAAATCTGCTCTTTTTAGTAAGATGCCCCGATAGACTAGTTAGATTATTACAAAAAGCACCTAACTGCAACGAACCTACCGAATTGATAGCTCTATTGTGCCGTGAGTCATCACTTCAATTTCGCGAGAGGTTTTCGCGGTTTTGGGATTTTCATGTGGGGGAAACGCACCGGCAGCGTGGTTCGGCGTCGCCGTGGCGGAGCGCGATGAGCCCCCCGCTACCCCCCTCCCCCCATTCCTAGGCGCTGGGTTTCCCCATCAACGTCACCCAATCTGAAACTATCGTCTGCGTTGTGTTTATGCTTCGTCCGGCTCATTTTTTCGCTCAATGCTCTGTATCGCGTGGTCGCGTTTGTGCGCAGTTCCACCGTACTGTGTTTTGCTCAGCCGGCATCTTCTTGAAATGTGAGTATTTTACACTTAGATTGCTTTTTCTGATTTCTTGACCCGTAGACGTTCTTAGATTTAAGCAAGCAGTCGCTTTTCCCCATAGTGTGCGTGTGGCATTGGAAATCGTTAACGTAAGGAATGGCAAACATGCGTTGTAAGTCATGCCGTAGATTTACCGTCGAAGTGAATTATCGAATCGAATGAAGCATGGACGATATTGTATAGCAGGTCACTTGATGGCATTTATGTTGAATGAAGTGCAAAGCAATATTACCTCATAATTTTACTAAATTCGCAAAATCGTCGTGAGGTTGCACAACATTTTGAAAAATTTTCAACAATCTCACGCCGGTGTCCCTCTGTGCCGCTACCAAACGCTGCCCCCCCCCCTCCCATCGGAAAATACCGATCACAACTATTTGTCCCATCGGAAAATACCGATCACAACTATTTGTCCCCTCTCCTATTCCCATTCCGACAATAATCATGTAATTGAGATAAATTAATTTTTATACTGTTTCGGGAGTTCCCATATCATTTCCATATATCTCAGGGCTTTTCTAAAATTACCGCTCCTCCTCTGTCTAACATTTTGTTGCTCCTCTGACGTGAGGGCGTAACTCCATTTCCTTATGAGCCCTGTAAAGCATGAAGTTGTATGGAAAACGGAGCTCAAGTTGAAATGAGATACGCCTTTACGTCAGAGGAGCGACTATTTTTCCCATCAGGCACAATTTTTCCCCCGCTTTTCCCTCTTAATTTTCTCAGATAATATTTTTAAACTTTTTTTGCAGCGCCAGGCTCATTGTGCTTGTGATACTTGTTCCCCCTTAAAAAATAATCACCAAAGACCTGTTCGTGTCATAATGATGGGAGAGAATTTGATTCAAACTTCAAGTCTTCACACGATTTAATGATTAGAACTTCTATAATGGTGAAATGCGGCCTTTCGTGGAGCAAATTTTCGATTTTAGTCCCACGGGAATCCAAGCGTGCAGAATGTGCTTTAACAGGAAAACCGTGGTTATAGAATGTGTGCGGTGTACACTTTGGAACAACGCGCACAGGACGGCAAAGAGAATGTAAGCAAAGGCACATCAGGTCAGAACGTAGTGTAAAGGTGTAGTGTTTGAAGTATACCTCTGATGTTGAAGGCGCTCCATACGATGAGCGCGGGCGCGCCAAGCATTGCCCGGCGTGGTATTTGAAACTTCGGCGTTTCCGAATAGTGTCTACATTTGGCAAAGGGCCTTATCTTGGAGATGTCTCAATGAATAATATTGGAGCACAACTTATTAACTGACAGAACTTTGGGGAATTAAAATGATCATAAGTTATACTTTTTTACAGGAGCTCGCCAATTGCTGTGATTTTGATGATAATTTCTAAATTACTTTATGCTTACTGTTTTTCGCGCACATTATTGCAGTCACGCTAATTTTTTTGTTTAAATTACTTCGACTACGTTTATTTTTTTTTTATTTTTTTTTTTTTAATTATCTTGTCCACCCCTATTTTTGGCGTTGTGTAATAGGTACTACGCAGGACAAATTTGTGCTCTTCAGTCGGTGAAAGCGTGCACCCCTGAGACGTAATATTTCTTAACCTCTCCTCCAGTTGCATTTTTACTTTCATAGCATCATTTTGCCTATACTTCATTCCATTTGTCGTACATTTAGAGCAATGCCAAAAGTCCTGTCTCAAGAAAATTTATTCTGAATAGCTATAGATTATTATTATTTTAGTTTCAATGTCCACCGCCCAACCAAAGGAAATGCCTAGCACAGCTCAGTACTAATCGTTGAGAATAACACAAAAACCTCACGGCGAAATTTCAATATTATTTATCAACCTGGTTTATCGTAATTATACTATGACCACTTAAGTGCTTAGTCCATTTATCAAAGGAAGTATATCAAAGGTTCTTTTAAAACCATTTGGTGGGTTGGTTTTCGCGGAGAGAAAGGAATTTTTGCTTTCAAAATGCCCATCGTAAAATCTAGACCCGACCTGTTTATCTGGACGCAAGTACAACACTTAGTGTTTGTTTACATTGCTCTCCGTCTCGGTGATAATACTGCATTGCCCCCCCCCCCAAAAAAAAATATAATAATTTAAAAATGATATAATAACTACAACTAAAAAAGCATGGAGGATTTGTTATCCACGATTGGGATTGTAAGAGCAACAATTCTTTTTTATTTATTTATGACTACTTTGCGAGGCGCCAAACAACGCAATGCGCCACTCCGTCTGGTGGGCCTGTTCTTTCTGGTGTTCCCCCAGTGGGGAATTCCCTCGGGAATGAACTAAGTCCTCCGCGGTACAATGGCGCATAGAGGATATTTTGTTGCAGTGAATTCCCTCGTCCCCCCCCCCCTTGGCGAGAGCGGGAGCTAGTTCAATGCGAAAATTTTCGTTTGAGAGTGGTTCCGAAATCATTCGTAAAATAAAATAAAAATAAAACTGTTTAAAGTACAAAAGTTTAAAATGATTAGAGAAAAAAGAATCTTGGTACTATACATTTTTATTACAAGTACTTCTTTACTTACATGCTTTGTTTCATGTTTCTTGTTATCACAAGTGTCGCCTGATTGTGCTCTGGCCACTAGATTTGTATACTAATCCGTTTCATCTGCCAGTTATATTGTTAAAATTTTAGTTTCTTTTCCTTTTACTTTTTCATCTGTTCGATACCAGAATGTAGTTTTTTCTTTTATTTCCTATTTTTCCTATTTCTCTGAAGATGGACCTGAGAGGCCAAAAAGGCCTTCAGCATATAACCATTCAAAGCATGCAAGTAAATAACTTGCAATAAAATGTTTAGTACCAAGATTCCTCTTTTTCTAATCATTTTAGCATACGATACTACTCTACCAAAAATTTTCGAAGTAGAAAATTTTAATGTGTATCATTTGTATTTTCAGATATTTGAGCAACAATAATCATGTCTGCATTTAAGTGTGCCACCGGTGAAGACAGTTTCCGGAGCGTCCTATCCATTCTCACCCCCGAGGAAGCGGAAGCCTGCGGCGGGCTCCCTGCCGAAGCCATCGCTGGAACCCTTCAATCAGATCCTACCCCTTCAGCTTCAACACCAGGAGGAAAACCACCCTCAGGTTCCGATGCTGCAAGTGGATTCAAGCCTAACCCTGTTTTTTCAGCCTTCATGCATAACGTGATTCGAACTCATGGTCCCCTGGATCAGAGTCTACAGCAAGCTGCTGAGAATCAGAAATCTGGTTACTTGTACGTCATTGATTTTCGGACCCCTGATGGCATCATGGGGAGAGTGCCTCCACATGATATTGTGGGTGCCTTTGCTGTGAATGATGGGCGCATCGGTGACTATCAGCCCAATGCCAACCACCGGTTATTCACCGAGCATGGTCTGGTAAAACTGCCACCTTCGTTAGCGAAAGCTCATATAGAGGAGTTGAAGCGTCTGAGAGTCCAGTCTTGAAGTCAGTTTTTTTCTAAGAGGATACAGATAACCAAAGCTTACAAATAAATTTTGGCTCCTTTTTTACAGTTTCAGCGGCTCTGATAGGAAGTCCGTGAAAAAGGAGCTGTTTGGTAAAATAAGTTTCTCGGATTGTACTCCCTGTAAATTGTTCCAAAGTAACTGTTAAAACGTACCTATCTTGTAAAAAGTATGGGGGCTTTCAACCAAATATTCCATAGACATACCACTGTGGAAACTTTAAAGAATTTTTTGATTGTGTGGTCGACCCAGGGACTTTAATGAATTACAGAGGTTTCACTCGATGAATTTTATTCATCTGCTCAAGCACTCAGGATCTATTGTTTCCACTCTTGTTGATTGTGTAAAAATTGTTTATTCTCTCATGGATTAAATTTTGTTCCTAATATAATAGGTCACCCAGCCTTGTAAATGGCCAAATCTTTCATATTTAATTTGCTTCATAGTTTTAGTTGAATGGAGCGGAATTCATTTCTGGAGAAAACTTACGATTATTTGTAAATAGTTATTAAATAAAAGTTTGTACATTTTTTAAACAGATCACTCCATTCATCTGTGCTAATTGATATTATTAGGTTAAGTTTGTTAATTTAATTAAAATCAATCTTTGATTAAAATTTAAATATTTTTTATAAATGTTGTCTGTTTTTCTTCGTTACACATAAGCATGTTTTGAATTAATGACTGATGACTCGATTTTATTCACCGTACCTAATTTTTTTCCAAGAAAAAGTTGTATTTAACTCCTGCGGGAAATAAGTTACATCAAAATGAAAACCTGCAACCACATTATAGAACAGCAGCATTTACTTGTACATTTTAAAAGTGCATTGCGTCACAGTCGCCGTCAGTATGATGGTAAATCATTAAAAAAATGTCCACTTCTGCCCTATTTTATCATGGATTGCGAGGGATTGAGGTTGGATACATATATTTATTTATTTATTTATTTTTTTTGCAGCAAAACTGCTTTCAGATGATAGCTTATCGCAAAAAAAAGCTCGAAGTTAAAGAAAAAAAGTAAACAATTGTTTTGGAAGGTAGACACGTAGTCGTGTATATACGCACGTTTGGTGAGGCGTACATTCTTAAACACATAATGCAGACAAACACTAGAAAATAATCCGTTTTCTTTAGTCCCAATACTAGAAAAAAAAAAAAATTACTAATTTGAAGCCATTCTTTTATTTGAAGTACTTATGTATTTTTAAAATTTTGCCATCAATAGGTCCATAAATGTTTGAATGCTCGACTCTCCTCGGTATTGTACTGTTATGGGTAGAAGGGTACCTTTTAAGTTTTTCAAGTACCTAGAGAACTAAATGCGCCAGCCACAACCCCGTAAAGGTAGTTATTAAACACACTTTTCTCAACTGTTTAAAGTGTGTGTTCAAGTGTAGGTAATTGAGGTTGAAAACGCAGAGAGTAGTAATAAAAAATAATTTCAAAGGATTGAGTGTTTATTGAGCATGTAAAAATAAGTGATGAGTAATTATTTAAAACGAAAATTTAAAAACACAGCGCAGCCATTTTGGCTTAAAAACAAAAGTGTTAAAATTAAGCTTGATTTTATTACCTTAAAATTAGGCGCAATTTTACTATCTTAAAATTACGTTCTACGTTGTTGAATCTGGTTGCTATTTGCATTCGACTGCGATGGTGGAATTTGGTTCCCCGTGAAGAGATTTTCTTTATCGTCCTGTTGTTTATCCAATCTATTTTCTTTTGCTGCCTTGTTCTTGCTCGATGGAACTGTCAATCTGGGTCTCTTATTTTTCTGCTCAGATTTTCGTTCTAGTAACGTGTTCTGTATAAATTCTTGAACTTCAGCTGAGTTTGAGGACTGCAAAATGTATTCAATTGATAGTAAAATTAAATTAAATCAATTTCGTCACTAAACATCATGAATGAATAAAAGTTATTGTGGACAAAAGGGAGAGGAGCATGTGACGGCGGTTAAGGTGATTCGTCAAGCTCAAATAACGTGGTGGAAGTGGCATGTGATATATCGCATTGATTAGGTAAAAAATTTGGGCAGATTTTGAATTTACAGCATAAAAAAGGACGATAGCCTCCGCACATTAGCCTAAAGAATCATTCTAAACCCAAAAATCGGCAAAATTCTGAAAAATGAAAGCAGGATAGTGTTAGGAAAAAACCTCGCATTCGATTCAACTATCAATTTCTGTATCGAATGCGGGTCTTTTTTTTAGTAACACTGCCCTACTTTCATTTCTTTGAATTTTGCCGATTTTTGGGTTTAGAATTATTCTTTAAGCTAATGTGCGGGGGCTACCGTCCTTTTTTTTTGCTAAAAATTCAAAATCTGCCGAGATGTTTTATCTAATCGATGCGATGTATCACATGCCACCTCGACTACGTCACTTGAACTTGACGAATTACCTTAAGTAACTAAATTGTTTCATAAATAATAATCAAAGTTAAAGTTGTTTCATAACCTCCGCTCCTATATTTTAAAAAAGAGACCCGAGCAACATCATTCGGCTTGAAATTTTCACAGAATATTCTTTTTTTAGAGAATAATTATGCAAATACAGAAGCATAAGGATGTATGCAACTGCTTCGTTTAGGGGCAGTTCGAGGGTGAAGGAGCCCTTTCCAAAATTTGGAACCCTATTTTTTAAGAGACCACTCAGGGAAATTTTGTCTCAAAATCCATTATTCAAAATTAATTCACACAGTAGAGGGTTAATGAGATGATGTATGCGTTTCACGTGGCTATGAATGAAAGCAAGTGTAAGATCTGTAAAAGAGCCCTGTAAAACAAAAAAGTTTGACGAACGTTCTACCAAGTTCGTCAAATTTTAAAATGCAGTTTTACCTAGTCATTTTCGACTTAGAATTCATATAACTCGGGACAATTATGAGTTTTTAAACATTAATATGGAATTTTCTCTTGGATTTCAATTTTTTTTTTCAATTTTTTCAAAATTGAGGTTGCATCTTAATTTTCTTCTTATACGTCATTTTTTTGTTCACTCACACTCATAAGATCTTTCCGATAGCTTACACCGGCACACAAGCAATCAATTTATGCAGTAAAATATTACATACCAACCACTAAATGATGCTGAACGCTTAGAATGGTAAATATAAAACATTTGTCTCGGTAGATACTGAATTTTTTCTAACCTACCTGTGTCCGAGCGAAGACCGCCTGTCGGAATTCTTCCCGTCTGCTGTTCCTCACCACAAGTGACACAGCTTGGGCTATGATTTCTACTCTTTTTTGGTAAGTCTGATCTTCCATTGGTACTGTTTGCCAAAAATCAAGTAACTGTGAAGCATGCCAGAATAAATCGTTTTAATATATATCGACGGTGAAACTACCAAACCACGTATCTCGGTTTGCGACGTCGCAGACTTCCTGTCATACTTTATTTTTTAAATGAAAAACTACTTTACGTCCAGTCTTGAAAATTTCTGTGATTTTTCCTCTTCCTGCGGAGAAAATTCTGTGAAAATTTCAAGGAATGATATTGATTTGGTCTACTTCAAAAAAATAAAATGCGAGCGTAGATTTTTAAACACCGCAAACGAGATACGTGGTTTGGTAGTTTCACCGTCCATATATAAGTTTACGTATACCTCACAAGTTTAGGCAACAAGTTGCAGGAGCATAACCGCAATGCATTTTTGGAGCCACCAAAAATTAGCTCATTCAAAGGCTGTTTAGTTTGACTATTATGCTTATAAGTCTCTTCCGTCGATCAAGCATAATTGCAAGTGAAAGCACACAATAATCTAGAAATCTGTATTCCATGAATTTGCCCGCGAGTCATTCTCTAAAAATACAAATGATGGGCATGTCAGTCGTCCTTTCGAGAATAACCAGCGCCTACAACTGGATTGATACAACTATTCGAACACGAGGAATGTTGTTTGGCCTACTTCTTAAATGAAGGCGAATGGGCCTGTTGCATGCAAGAGATACAGCCGCGCGAATAGACTTTCTAGAGGTTAAATGACTCGAAAATTACGACGGTCACATTAAAAAAGTCTGAAATACACTCCTAACTGCGCAATTTGCGTTGTTAAGAACGCGCTTTTTCAAATTTCCCGCGTCTGGGGGCAGTTTTCTAATCACCGGAAACGAGCAAACGGCGGGCTCGGTTATTTCCGGAAGATGCCGAGTCGTTGTTGTTGTTGTTGTTATTTTTTCCTTCAGTTTGTTTACAAACCCAACGTGATCTCCTATAGTGGTCCATATACGCTTTATGCGGTAACCAAATTGATCAACTTCAAAATATCCAACGCAATCCTTCTAAATTTCATTTCACGATTTCACGAGCTCCGATTTTTAGGTTATGTTGTCAGTTTTAGTTGACCGGAAATAGCCGCGAGTTGCCGTTAATTGTTTCCGTAAGAAAACTGCCCCCCGACGCGGGAAATTTGAAAAAGCGCGCTTCTAACAACGCAAATTGCGTAGTAAGGAGTGTATTTCAGACTTTTTTAATGTGACCATCGTAATTTTTGTGTCATTTAACCTCTAAAAGTCTATTCGCACGGCTGTATCTCTTGCATGCAACAGGCCCATTGGTAAAATTGTGTTGGTAAATGTGTCGTTTTCGCATTATCGTTCTTAATTCCAATACAAAGTTTAGAGCCGTTAATTGTTTCCGTAAGAAAACTGCCCCCCGACGCGGGAAATTTGAAAAAGCGCGTTCCTAACAACACAAATTGCGCAGTAAGGAGTGTATTTCAGACTTTTTTAATGTGACCATCGTAATTTTCGTGTCATTTAACCTCTAAAAAGTCTATTCGCACGGCTGTATCTCTTGCATGCAACAGGCCCATTGTGAGGCGCAACATCCCACCGTTTGCTGCGCTTGATAAAGACGTATGTAAATGTTCTTCGAAGTCATCAATGTTTGATGTTCTGTTTCTTCCTACCATCACAAAACGCCGATTTCTAAACAATATAAGGGGAGGGAACGAGTGATACAAGCAACGAGTTCCTACTTTACTACACCATACTTCCAATCTTATCCATCGCACGATTATTAAAATCAAGTGTCAGAAAATGAAGAGGTAAGTGGACGGAACTTTGATCACATCTAAAGTGTAAAGACTTCCTAAAACTTGGATCACATAATTTTTCATTATTTTAATTATTTTTTACTACACGAATGAGTACATCCGAGAGAAAAATTTGCAAGCTGTTTGCTTCATTATTTATCATTATAAATCAATACATAGCATGGAAGTACGTCCACTCCTTTTATTCCGACAATTTGGGAATTCAATCTTGTCCGATAAAAACTTCGGAAATCTCTCTCTAAAATCCAAATTTTTTTACTACAAACTTCAAATTGTCATATTTTCAGTTTATCCTGACTTGTTTTCTTTTTCATTTTTGCTCTAAAATGCTCATTCATTGCTCTTATACAGGGTGTCCCAAAAGTCCCTTCCACCCCCTCTAAAATTTTACCTAATGAATATTTTGAAACGAAACTTTGGGGATGTTCATCGATCAATGTTAGCTACTTTTGGGGCCCCCCAAAAGTTTCGGGCCCCCACGTGGGGAGGGGCTGCGGACCCCAACTTTTTTTTTTCAAATGGCAACCCCTATCTTCTGATACCTCATTCGAAAGAACATAAAAAACTAAGAATTTTGGCGCAAACCGCAGATCAATATCTTAATTTTTGACCGAGTTATGATAGGTCAAAGGTCAAATTTGACCTATTTTCAAAAAATCATAACTCCGGTTCAAATTATCGTAATGAAAAAAATAAAACGGGAAAATTTACCAAATTGTAAGCACTTTTGAGTAAAAATCACAGAAATTGCTTCAAGCTAATTTTAAGGGGGGTTTCGGACCCCCAAATACGTCAATTCAAAAGTCGTTCAATTTTCCCGCTAAATAAGCCAATTTTCCCCAGATTTGCCTCCATATTAGTTCAGTAAGGTCAAAATCAGTTCAACATTACGTTGGCAAGTCCCCAAATTTCGGGAAAAGTTAAAAAAAAAAATTTAAACGGTCAAATTTTATCACCTTTAATTTCGTTTTTTTTTAACTTTTCCCGAAATTTGGGGACTTGCCAACGTAAT